TACTACTACTACCACTACTACTACTACTACTACTACTACGACTACTACTACTACTACTACTACTATTACTACTACTACTACTATTACTACTACTACGACTACTACTACTAGTAGTACCGGTACGAGTACTAGTACTAGTACGAGTACTAGTGCTTCTACTAGTACTCTACTCTACTCTACACTACTCTAATTTACTCTACTCTACTCTGCTCTACGTTACTCTTCTCTTCTCTACTCTGCTCTAATCTACTCGACCCCACCCTACTCTACTCTACTACTACTGATACTGCTACTGCTGCTGCTGCTGCTGCTACTACGACTACTACTACTACTACTACTACTACTACTACTACTACTACTACTACTACTACTACTACCACTACCACTGCTACCACGACCACTACTACTCCTACTAATACTACGACAACAACGACTACTACTACTACTACTACTACAGAGACGCCGACGATGACGGCCAACGACGCTTACTACGACTACTACTTCTACTACTTTACTGATGCTTCTTTTACGATTCCTACTTTGAACTGGTAACTTACTGATACTACTACTACTATACTACTCTTATTTAGTAGATTAATACTTATACTAGAAACTACTACTACTACTACTACTACTCACTAACTACTACTACTATACTACTACTACTACTACTACTACTACTACTACTACTACTACTACCACTACTACTACTACTACTACTACTACTACTACTACTACTACTACTACTACTACTACTACTACTACTACTACTACTACTACTACTACTACTACTACGACTACTACGACTATTACTACTACTACTACTACTACTACTACTACTACTACTACTACTACTACTACTACTACTACTACTACTACTACTACTACTACTACTACTACTACTACTACTACTACTACTACTACTACTACTACTACTACTACTACTACTACTTCTACCGACGCACTCCTTGGACTTCGGTGAGTGACACCCCCTCGCTCCTCCCCTGAGGCTCCTCCAGGCACACCTAACCTTGCCCTTCCTTACCTATTCTTCTTGTGGCCCCCCTCCCCCTTTTCGCCCGCTGAGCTTCTCCACCCCGCCTAAGCGCCGCAGGCCGCCAATGGTGGGAGGAGGACGGGGGGCGGAACGGCCTGGTGGAGAACCGACGCTCGCCATCGCTCGGACGTCCACTCCCGATGCATGGTTTGATTCCGTGCGCTTTTTGTCCGCTGGATGACCCAGGATGCTCCACGATGGCCCTCGCCGAGAAAAAATGCACACGTCGGAGCTGCCGAGGACAACGGCACGGGGGATGGGAGGACTGGAAGGGCAGTGCTCGGCACCGGCCGCCAGAGGAAGAGCACGGATCCCTCCGGCGGCCGTGGGCCAGGCGGCCGCGCCCCACCCAGAGCCGGGCCGTGGAGCCTGCCTCTCGCGCGAACCGTCACTGCACAGCACCACCACGCCAGGGCGCCTCGTTCGACTGCGTGAGCTCCAGTGCCCCCCCCCCCCCACGCACCCCACACCCCACCCAAGCCGCCCGCTCCAGCCGCGCCGCCGCCGCGCCGCACACCACCCCGTGCAGGGGCACGCCGAGGTGAGCCCCAGTGCCCCCCAGGGGGGCTGGGGCTCACGCCCGGGCTCCATCCGCACGAGCACGGCGCTCCAGGCAGACTCCCCCTTCCCTCCCTCCCGTCCTCGGCGGTGCACATCTTCAGCGATGGGCCGATCCGTCGTCCTCCTTTTCCTCTCTCTTGCCTCTTGGTTTCTGTTCGCCCTCCCCCCGCAGACGGCGCCGGGGGAGGGCCACCAGGGCACCTGCGCACCGTCGCGAACTTGTCCGCAGCTTCGAGCTTCGAGGAGGAGGAGGAGGAGAAGGAGGAGGCGGGGAAGGAGGAGGAAAAGAAGGCGGAGAAGGAGGAGGAGGAGGAGGATCAGGAGGCAGAGGAGGGAGCAGGAGGTGAAGGAGGAGGAGGAGCAGGAGGAAGAGGAGGAGGAGCAGGAGGAGGAGGGAGAGGAGGAGGGAGGAGGGAAAGGAGGGAGGAGGAAGGTCAGGAGCAGAAGCAGGAGGGAGAGGAGGATGAGAAGGAGGAAGAGGAGGAAGGAAGAGGAGGGAAGAAGCAGAGGAAGGGGAGGAGGGCTGCGCTGACGGTCCCGTCGAGGCCTCGCCGCCGCTGGCCGAGCCGCGGCACGCTGCGACGCGCAGGCGCCAAGCGCGGCCGCCAGCGGAAAGGGCGCGGGCGTCGCCGGCGGTGAGCAGCGCCCCATCCAGCGCGGCCCGGAGGTACCTCTCGGCGGCGCGCCGAGGGGGAAGTGCAAAGGGCAAGGAGGTGGAGGAGGAGGAGGAGGGGGAGGAGGAGTAGGCGGAGGAGGAGGAGGAGGAGAATGAGGAGAAGAGGAGGAGGAGGAGAGAGGAGGGGAGGAGGAGGGGGAGAGAGGAGGAGGAGGAGGAGGAGGAGGAAGGAGGAGAGGAAGCAGAAGGAGAAACAGAAGGGGGAGCTCCCCCTGAACCCAAAGCGGGCCTTACTCCGGCGCCTTGGCTGCAGTGCATCGGGCAAGGAGGAGAAGGGTGAGGAGGAGAGGGAGGACAAGCGAGGCGCGCTCGCGCCATGTCTGACATCCTATCTCTCCCACCCATGCCTTCCCGTTGCGCTGATCTGGTCTCTTTCAGCGGGCGCGTGTCACGGCGGACCTGGAACTCCCCCTTCTCCTCCTCCCTCATCCTCCTCCTCTCCTCCTCCCTCCTCCTCCTCATCCGCCTCCTTCCTCCTCCTCCCTCTCCTTCTCCTTTATCTCCTCCTCCTCCACATCCTGCCCTCCTCCTCCTCCTCCTCCTCCTCCTCCTCCTCCTCCTCCTCTCCTCCTCCTCTCCTCCTCCTCCCTCCTCCTCCTCCTCCCAAATCCCCCCTCCATCTCGTAAGCATCCGCCCCCTGCTTCTCGTCAACCTCCTCCTCCCTCTCTCCCTCTCTCCCCCCATCTTCCTCCTCCTCCTCCTCTCCTCCTCCTCATCATCATCATCCCTCCCTCTCCCTTCCTCGCACCCCCCACCTCCTCCCTCCCTTCCCCCACCCCCTTCCTCCTCGCACTCCCTGCCTCGCACCCCCTTCCTCCTCGCACTCCCTGCCTCTCCCCCCGAGGGGCGGGGGGGGGACCTGTCCAGCTGCAGCCCCCCCATGAGCTCGGGCCATGCCGCCAGCAGCTCGCGGGGCGCTGCCACGTCGACCTCCTGCGCCTGACCCCGGGCTGCTGGGGACCGCTCTCACGCCCCAGCGGGCGCCTCCTTCGGTGGCAACTCATGGGGGGCTCCCGTACCATCTTGTCGGCTCGTGCGAATCGACGCTAATCGGCGCTAGTCGATGCTAAATCGATGCTAAATCGACGCTCATCGACGCTAAATCGACGCTGATCGACGCTGATCGACGCTAATCGGCGCTAATCGGCGCTATTTCATTTACTCCCAGACGCCAGTCGACGCTAATCGACGTTGAAAACGGCATTGAGAAGATACACCAGGCTCCCATGATTTGCTACCGAAGGACCGCTCCGACCGCTCGCACCCCCAGTGGGCGCCTCCCACCCGTGATCTCCGATCTAGCCTCTTTCTGTATCTTTCGGCCTCTATCAGGCTGGCTGTAAGGCCCTCGGACCAGCAAAGATGGGTCCTGGACAGAAAGCTACCGGGCCAGGAAACGGGCTTATAGGACCTCGCCAGGCACCCGATGTCATGGTTGAAAGCAGTAGCGCGTTTCACGGGCATTTGGGTGCGACAGGTTCCCCGACGCGCGGAAAACTTGGGACGCCCCCCCCTCGGTATCCCAAACCCCCCCTGGCGACAGCAGACGACGACGACGACGACGACGACGACGACGACGACGACGACGACGACGACGACGACGACGACGACGACGACGACGACGAGACTGGCGCCAGGGTGGGGGGGAACCCCCTCTTTCGCGGGTGGGGGGCGGGGTTGAAGGACCCCCCCCTCCCCCCCTCCTTGCGAGGGGGGGGGGGGGGCCTCCCAGTTTCTGCTTGAGGCGGAGGAGAGGGGGCCCAGTTTCCGGACGTCCAGGATGCCTGAAGGGGGGGGCAATTGCAAGCCTCCCCCTATAGCCTCCCCTCCCCCCCCCCTCAAAACGACCACAGAACGCGGTGTCCCCGTGAGTTATTCAATACCAGGCCCCTAGGAGTCCCGAGCCTCCCCTGATCACTGGGTACTCGAGTTATCCAGTCGCGACCGGCGAGATCGGTCGCTACCGACTTCGCTTCAAATGTCAGCATCTGCTCGCGATCGATTTGCCTTTAAATCGGTCGCGACCGATTTTGGGATCCAACGCGTTCGGTCGCGACCGATTCGTAGCGCCGATCGGTCGCTACCAATCGCGACTGAAAATGTTCGGTATCCACTGATCTAGGTCTCCCCACCCAGATCATCCTGGTCGCGATCGGTAGCGACCGATCGGCACTCCAAATCGGTTGCGAACGTTCGCAGGAAATTCCAAAGTCGGCCGGGGCTGGTCGCGACCGACTTTGAAATAATTCGGTTGCGACCGATACCGAAACCTGGAGCAGAACCGGTCGCGACCGATCTCGTCGGTCGCCACCGCGTGATCTGGGCAGAGTCGGCTCCTCGTGACGAGCCGTTTCTTGACGGTGCTGGGCGTTGTGAGTCCCGAGGCGGCGCGGTGAGAGGCCGTGCGGTGGCCTCGAAATCCCCCAAGACCTCACCGCACGGTTCGTCTTCGCACGGCCTTGGGACCCTGGAGGCTGGAGGCGCTGGTCGCCCGATGCGGCCTCGGAGAGGGGCTCGAGTCCCAGGGCCGTGCGGTGACCCCGAGCCCCCACCGACTCACCACACGGTGGGGTCACCGCACCGCTGGGGGGCCCCCGAGGGGCGAGGCGAGGAGAGCGCGCAGAGCCGGGGGCGGGAGCCTGTTGTGGGCCCCTGCGCGGGAGTCTGGAGCCCCCGGGTCGTGCCGCCCGTGGCGTGGCATCCCACATCAGATGTGGGCGGCGCGCACAAGGGGGGTGGAGGGACGGGGGAGGGCTTCTGAAAAGGAGGCTGCGTCTTAGAAGGCGCTGGCCTCACATCTATAGATAAGGCCCGCGCCTTCCAAGAAGCAGGGTTGCTTCCAAGAAGCCCTCCCCCCTCCCCCCACCCCCCTTCTGCGCGTGGCTGAATATGGCAGGCACCTTCGTGACGACCCCGAAACAGTCGGACCTGGGCCAGAAGAACAGCCCTCGAGATCCTGACGCCCTCCGTCGGCCAGAACAAATGGAACATCCGAGGGTACCCCCCCCTCCAGGATAAACAATGACATCCAACAAGCACCAAGCACGAAGAACATCAGGGCACCCTCCCCGAACCGACCTCGATCTTGCATACCTCGACCAGACTGCGCTAGTTTCTAACACCGCGTAGACCACTGAGCCCACAACGATCGGCAGCCTCTCGATCGCCCGATCGGTCCATCGTGGCCTGTCCTGGGCCACACTCCACACTGGCGGCGCGTTCCACTTTGGCGGCGCCCACGGCGGGGGCCCCGACCACCGACGCCACAGTTTTGGCACAGCGTGGAGCCGCAGAGATATCGACCCGTTCTCGGCGACGAGTGAGCGGGGGGAAGTGAGAAAGCAGCCTTACTCTCCATGTCTCTCGCGCAGGCATGTCTAGGCCAAAAAGTCTCCCGCAAACAAAAAGGGGGCCAGACCTCCGATGTCTCTGTTTAGTGCCATTCGCGGACCCCTGAGCTCTGGACCCCATCCCGGGCGCAGTTTGTACTTCCGGCCTGGCCTTCGATGGTCCCGAGGCATGGGAGCAGTTCCCAGATGCCTGAAACATCGGAAACGAAAGCGTCCGCCTCGAATATTGCCAGGCAGACGGAGGAGCCCTGCGAAGCACCAAACACCGTTGACAAAAAACAATGAGCTTCCAGCCGAGGAGATCGGCGGCAGGGGCACGCGTTGGGGCGCCATCGCCGCCGACGACGGCGCCGGCAACGCTGGCGGCGGCCGCGACGGCGGCGATGACGACGCCGACGGCGACAGCGGCGACGCCAGCCACGACGATCGTGACGACGCCGACGCCGAGGAAGGCGAAGGCGGCGGGGGCCACGACGACGGCAAAGACGACGGCGGCGACGGCGGCGGCGGTAACGACGGGAACGACAACAGCGACGGCGGTGGCGACAGCGGCGACGTCGGCGGGCACCAGGTGACAACGGTCACGGCGGGCCTCGCAAGCGTCGAAGTCGCACGTCAGCGCCACGGTGTCGCCTGGCTGCACCTCGAGCGACAAAAGCACCTGGCGGCCAGCGCCGGACGGCCCGACGTCGTGATCGCTGCCGCGCAGTCATTTGTTGACAACAGCAATGAGCAGCTTCCCGACATGCTTGTTCTGCCTTGAAAACGCGGATTTCAGAAAACTGCTCCTTTCAGTTAGCCCACAGCACCCTATGACGTCCAAAGTGGCCCCTGGGAGGTCCGGGGCGGTCAAAGCAGCCACCCAGAGGCGCCCACGTTGCCGAAGGGAGTCCGCAGCCCCGAAGGGAACCAAGAGGCCAACGAGGGCACCAAAAAGCTACCAGGAGGCGGTTCTGACGCCCTCCAAATAACCCACCAGAGGAGTTTACGTCCCGAGAAACGGCCAAGATTGCGAGTGAGGGACTGCCGAATAGGGTCCTACGAGGCGGGCGAAGGCTTCTGAGTTACGGCGCCAGGTAAATTCGTTTCAATTTGGCTCTTTCGCCCGCTCCTCCCGAGCGTCTTCCTCTCGAGACGTGCTCGGGGCCGAAAGGCGTTTGAGCAAGTGGTTTGTGGGACTCGCGGAATCCAGGGGGGGTCCGCGCTGTTTTCTGGCAACGCCCGGATCTTCCTTTAGAAATTCCATTCGATCTAGACTAGACCACAGCGGAACACATCTGACCACGAAGGCCAACCGGTGGCAACACGTCCCCCAAACCAGTGCTTGCATTTGCGGCTCGTTTGCCAAATCTAAATAAATAAACTGGCAAAGTTCCCGGATTTCCGCACGGTGTTCGCCCATGCGTCTGCGTTTTCTGGGCACCCCATACTCCATGGCGTGCACCACTGCTATTTTTCAGAAAAGAATATGCGGGGCCCAAGAAAAAACACCACCACCACGTCGATCCCTCCTCCCTTCTCACCCTTTATTTTCCTCTCCTCTTTCCTAGGAGAGGGAGGGGATGAAGGAAGTGGTAGTGGTGTATACTGTTTGGCCCCGTATAACAAACTCTACCACCCTTCCGAACCCAGAAATGTCGACCACCCCTGGGATGCGGCATCTTACATATGACTTTGCCGGCACGCTCACCTTCAATACGAATGCATATCAGCCTGGGCGAGCCAGTATCGACCCCTCCCCACCACCTCTGTCAAGCAGTACCCCGTTCGCAGTCGTCTGCACAAAAAGAAAACCGAACATCACTTGCAACAGAAAACAAGAACACACGCGCACACGCGCAGTCCGAAATAACACCAACACGCACTTGTTACGCAATTTTTCCAGCACGGACGCAGCTTGATCAGACAATCAATTTGCTCATGAAAAATGTTTGCCCGCGCGCAATGGTGCTCTTGATATCACATACGGCCCATGTATGGCTGTATCGATCTCGTCAAACGCCCGCGTTCCCATCCCGCCACGCGGCGCATCCGCATTGATGCAGCATGCGCTCAGCGAGCGCATCCGCTTGAAATGCCACTGTGCGGGTCACATGCGCGCGCCGCCACGCGCGCGTGTCGAAATCCTTCCAAGCCCACAAGTTCTCGAAGCTCTTCAAAACTGAGCTGTTCAGCAGCATATAAAACCAACACTTTACACAACCGAAGATTACCAGACTTCCTGAATCTCTGCGCGCGCACACCCTCATCAACTGCATCAACGCCATCGAATCCCCGCCGGCATCGTCATTTTCAAGCGCTACCATTGCCGGCATCATCATCATCACAATCACCTTCATCACCGACACATAGACATTATAATCATCGTCGTCACCAGCGTCGGCGGCGTCATTGGGCTGGACGTCGTCATCGTCCTCATCGCCACCACCATCGCTATTGCCATCATCATCGCTGCCGCGGGTGCCGACGTCATCATGATATCGCGCCTGTCTGAAGTCTCGGCGGCGACGATAGGGGCGAATAGTCCGGGGGCGGGCATTACACGTATTCGCCCAGGAGCCTTTTCGATGACATAGATCATCGGCGCACCTGAATACATGGATTGCTCTACCCTGGGCCATTCGCCCCTATCGTCGCCTCTGCACCGAACCGCCATGACTTGCCCGCGCGCCGGCGCGGCCCTTTGAGACGCGCGGGGGGGTCCCAGCGATAAGCGCCCCCGCAGCCACATCAGCTGCGCCAGACAAGCTGTGCGCACGAGCGTGCGCCACCGGCACGGCCGTGAGGACATGCTGGCAGGCCCCAAGAGGGCACACCAGCCCTGGCCGAAGTGGGATGGGAGGCTGGGATGTTAGCGCGAGCGCTGGGGTTGTCAAATTCAGGTTCTTCAGGATGCTTCGCACCCCACAGCTTGCACCGCCCATAGTCCCTTCTCTCGACCTTTCCCCTTTAGATAATCCGAGTCCACCCACATGTCGAAGCCTACTTCGCGCCCCGCCGCGGGGTATAGTTGTTCGCAAACTGTTTATCGTGGACGGCCGCTGATCCCAAATATCAAACGCTGCAACCCCGACCAATCCGTATCGCCCACCCCTGCCCCGTCGTCCCCTGAAACAAACCCGTCGTTGCACATGCTTCAATCTAGTAAAAGCGTGCTGTACAGACCCATCTGAACGAACACCGTGGGGGCCACACGCGCGTGCCTCCGCACACGCATGTCACAAATATTCGAAAACAACTGGCGCTCGAACCATGTCAGGACATATTTGCCCCAACAGCTATCACCCCAATGCTAGCCTGGGTGTCAAAATATTGCCAGGCTTCTGCACGCGCACTTGCTAACGTCATACGAAAATCCTGACTACCTAGCCGTTCTGTCATATGAAAGAATTCCCTGGTAGCTGCTTGGAGAGCTAGGAGGGTCGTTAGAGAAGAAGCCTGCAGGCAAGGCTACGCCGCCTCCTCTCCAAGGCTCCCCTGCCAGCATCCACGCAGCAACCCCTGTGAACTCGCAGCGGGTCCGGGCAAGCGTTTTCCCAGTCGTCCCCGTTACGCGTGCCCGAAGCCTTCTCCGCAGCTCCTTCGGAGTTCCTTGGAGGCTCTCTTGCGAAGCTTTCTTTCCCGAGCTTGCAGGGTCTCCAGGCATCCTTGCCAGACTCCTTGCAAACGCTTCCCGCTGTCCCTTTCTCAAGCTTGCACGCTTCCCCAGCACCCCTGCTCCGCTACCTGGGCCTTGGACTGCACGAGATGCGAGCCACATGCGCGCACATGTCGGTAACGTTTAGCATTCCTCACGCATCCGCAACCTCTGTCAAATGATGCCTTGCGGGCCACTCGCGCGCGTCTCCACGCGCGCACGTCGATACCCTTGCAGAACAAGCATTGTCTCCAGCCTCTAGACACGGACCTCTTCAAAACATGCGAGAAATGACTCCCAAATGGAAATGCGCCGCAGAACCGAAACTTCTGCGCGAGCACTTCCTCAGCATCCTCATCAACACCATCGTTCGCATCATCGCAAACATCACCATTGCCATCGTCACCACCAGCACCAACGATATGCCGCCACCATCCCCATCGCCCTCATCATCAGAATCGTCGATGTTGCCGCCTTCGTGATCATCGCCGCTAGTCGCCGGTGCCATCGTCACCATCACCACTCGCCCGCCTGAGTCATGAAGCTTCATGGGCAGGACCCGCGCGTCATTGCGCCTGCTGAGATGTGTCAGGAAGCTCGACATAGTATTTCATCTCACGCCCTCCGCAGTGTTGCCCAGAATCTGCGGGTGAGCAGGTGGGACGTTTGCACGAGCGTTGGATGTAGCCACGCGAGGATGAAACCATAATACGTCGCACCGCGTAGAGCGCGCCTCGAAGCTTCATCACCATCTCATCATCAGCATCATCAGCATCATGATCATCATGATCATCATCATCAGCATCATCATCATCATCATCATCATCATCAACAACAACAAAACCATTATCGCCATTATCATAATAAGCATCAGCATCAGCATCATTATCCTTAGCATAATCGTCATCATCATCCTCATCATCATGTCCGCAATCATCATCAGCATCACCCACACAAGTGCCATCAGCATCGTAATCATCATTGCCGTCGTCATCATACTCGTCGTCATCGATGTCGTCGCCCTCGACATCCTCGCCAGGGCCATCTCCGACATATCCGTCGTCTCGCCATCGTTGCCGATGCCACCACCGTGGCCACTCGCCCGCCAGAGCCAAAAGGATCTGCACGAACGGGGTCCGCGAGTCAAACTGCGCAAGATGAGAGTCACGTTTCGCCAGCAAATTCTCTCATGGGCAACTGCACTCACGGCCTGTGTGAGGACTGCCAGCTAGTCCTGGATGGGAGGGCGGGAAATTCGCACGTGCAAGCAAATGAACTACCTCAAGTGCTTCATCCTAGAACAGCACCAAGTAGCGTGCCCTGCATAGGCCATAGCAGATGGAGCCACACGAGCTGGGAGGAGGACGACGACGACGACGAGGACCCAGACCCCCTCGGGTCGCGCGAATGTAGCGACGCATGGTTTTGGACACTTTCGGCCGTCAAAAATACGGCCAAAGAGAAAAAGACTGTCCAGGGAATGAATTGAATCCCTGAGATCAACGTTGTGAAAAATCATTGAAACAAAAATCTGGCTCCTCCACTCGGCCTCCGTGTAACCCCAATCGTCCGAGTCGGTTCGCGTATCGGCCTCGATATGTCGGGATCCCCTCCTCGTAGCTGCGGTGCCTCCAACCATCCTCCTTTTCCCCGCTCTGTTTTGTTGCTCCGGGTAGCCCGCCGACTGGAGAAAGTGCAGCTCCTTACCAGAAGCCAAACCAAACCACAGTCCTCCGACATCGTGGTTCTTCCAGAGCTCGGGCCCGAGAGATCTCGTCGGGGATCTACTGACTGGGGTCAATGCAAACCCGGGCCAGTCAGGATTTGCAGGACCCTGCAAGATCCTGCAGGATCCTGAAAGAGTCCGAGCGCAAGCCCGGATCACCCCTGGCCCTGTAGGATCCTGCAAAATCCGGCGCTCTGGCTGACCCCCGTTTGCATCGACCCTCGTTTACAGATCGATCTCGACCCATTCCCAGGGGACCGGCCATTAACCCTGAGCTGTCCTTCGACGGTCCTGAACA